AAGACAACCTAATATACATGGGTTGCGACCCATACGACAGAATTTGGAAAAATAAAAATAAAAAGAAATATGTGGATTATAAAGTGTTTTCCATAACTTATATAGGTCAAGCTCCTTTCTCAACAACAACAAAAATCACAATCGAAAGCTAAATCCACATAAGAAGAATGGCAATCATATCATCGAGATGGATCAGCAGAAAGATTTTTTATCAATGCTGGAAATTGTGATGGCAGCAAAGTCACTGTTGCAATATGTTGGGAGCAGTCTAGGCTGGCATTCAATATTAGAATGTAACCCACGCCTTTTCTTACGACCCATCACTGAGGCTTATAGATCAAACCCCAGTGCTGTTTGATTTAGAAGAGGTTGCGAAAGTCGCAATGCAAAAGCTTTAACAAGGACTAGGGCCCTCTTCGGTTTTTTCACTGCCATCACAAAATTCCTGCTCAAACCTTTTACTATTTCACCATCATATCCATCTCACTTTTATGACAAGTTGATTTTTGCATTTCTTCTGTGATTTTCTAGGCATCCAAACAGATAATTTAGAGAGGGAAAACTGAATATACCTGAATGAGGCCGTAGAGCTTAAGCTGGTAACTCCTCAGACTCAGAGTGAGAGGGAGGCAGAGATTCGCGAAGAGTTTTGAACAATGATGCTGGGGTGTTATTAGGGCGTCCTCCTCGTCCGCTAGACGATGTCGTTTTGTTTATCTTCACCTAGGTCGATTAATGAAGCCCAGCCCAAAATTACGAAAGAAAAAAGGCCCAATATTCTGGCTCATAAAATATAGTAAAGCTTGGTCCTCAAACGTCCAGGCCCAAGATTCAGCCCATCTTCTCCTAAGTTTCAGATTTTTTATAAAACCTAATTTTCAATTGCATGAGGGCATGTCTTAGTTTTTTTTTTTTTTTGGTAAATACAACGATGTGTCCCCACACCTCAACGATGTGTCTGGGACAGTGATGCTTCTTTATACTCATTTGATTGTCCAAATTAATCGTAATTTCCTGAAGGCACAGACAAAGTCGGTTAACTAGTGCCCACTTCAATAAACAACTCATATAGAACAAGCCAAAAAAAGTAATCAAACATAGAAATTAGGGTACTAAATTTTAGATTTTAGAAATTCCAATCATGTTTGCTTAGTCTTTGATATATATAAAAAAACCCCTAGTAATTTCTTACATGAATTTCATAAACAAAATACATCCGATGTGTTTCTTCATACACAAACGTACTCTTCTTCAATCCTCAAATGATCCATCAACACTTCTAAAGTCAAAGGCTCATTAATATTGTACTTCAACTTGACGTTCACATGCTTCCAAGAGGCAGGGAGCTTGGATAAGATGGCAGATACATGAAATGTCTCACTCAACGTCATTCCAGAAGCCACAACTTCATCGAAAATGCGATTGAATTCTTGAATTTGCTCCACAAGTGACTTTTCATCGACCATCTGAAAATCCATGTACTTTCTAACCAGATATTTCTTCGTTCCAAACATTAATTTTAGATCGTCCCACAGTTGTTTAGCAGTTGTAGTTTTCTTTCTCTTTCCGTAACACGATGGAGGAGATCATCGCATAAATAGTTCAAGATCGTGCGAAGACATAGAAAGTCATCCTTGATCCATTTATCTTCAGCATCCTTCAATTCAGTAAGTCCTCCGGCAAATGCTACAGATCCTACAATAATGCTAGGGCATGGCTCATAGAGTACATATTCAACTTTTAATTCCTTGAGGAAAAACTCCATTCGCCGCGCCCAGATGGGGTAGTTCTTCCCATCAAGACGAACAGGGTCAATGGGAACAAGTTCTGGACGAGCAAGACCAGACATACCACATTCCCTTTGCTCATTATCACGTTCAGATCTCAACTTTGACTCAATCTTGGCGATCGCATGCATGTCTCGGGTCCTCTTATTCAAGTCTCTCCAGATGACTGAAAACATATAGCATCAATACAAATCACATGAAATATAATTTAAACAGTAACTTAATGAAAATATATACATATTTCTAACCAAAACCAGGACCAGGAGTCAGTAATTGCCATGAGAAAATAAGATATATTAGTGTATGGTACCATAGCCAGAAACCAGCATTCCATCTCTTCCTTCAAAAACTCCTAACAATCCCCCACTCTTCCTTGGCGTTGGCATTGGTAGCTAATAAAACAAGAGAATTAATTTAGATCACACACCCACTAAACACTTATATAGAATAGAACCAAAAGAAACCTATTATATAAGAATTCAATTTTCCTTCCTTTCCAAGTAACCAAACTTAGAAATTAGGGTTTCACCTTCGTGTCCTTGAGCTCTTCTCCACCGTTCCGGCCCTTACCAGACGAATCGATTCCAAGTCGCTCTGTGTCCATGTCTCCGAGTGTTTTTATGCTCATGAACGTTTGATTTGAAGACCTTATTATAATATGTCAGGTAAAAAAATGGTTGGTGGCATGATCCCTACCCTAATTCAAATTCTAGTAATTCCAAACATGTTGTTTGTTAATCCAAATCACGAAAAACCTGGTCAATTGGCAACACGTATCCTATTCTTGTTGGCCACGTCACAGTTAAGTCTCACAAATGAATGAAAATAATGATTTAAATTAAGATTAAAAAAAAGTTAGCAAACAGTGAGTGAAAGAATGACGGAAACTAATATATATATTATAATGCCTTGTGACGTGTTTAAGAATAAATCAACTGATTTACAATAAGCTTATCTGCTAATTATTCAAAACATGCCGACCTCACAATACCATGTGTCACAATAAATATTTATAGGGGAATTTTTGTTGATCTCTTTCGAATGTGCAGTCTATGATCCAGAAGAGAATTTACAACAGAGAACGATAGGGGAAAAAGGGAGGGCTTTTGGGATCAACACTTTGCGAGTTACTTAAGGATTGGCTACTTGTGATCACCCCACTACCAAAAAAAAAAAAACTAGCTATTGATGTTCAATTGATCATTTCTTGTCACACACGGTTTGGATTACTATAGGAGTGGAATTGCTTATATTAAAGCTAATGAACCAAAGTGAAGAATGGCTGAATTTACATATGCAAAAAATAAAGGGGATTACTTGCCAAAATAATATTACGAGAGAAATTGTACAGAATTATGAATGACCATCTTACAAAAGCTTTAACTATTGATACGTATTTTGAAACTGAGTTCTGAATTTCACTTCATCCTTAACTTCAATTGTTTCAGCTAACTCCCCACATACAAATTATGTGACTCATAATACCTCATTTTCGTCTACTCGTAAAATAATCATCAATTGAGTAACATGGCAAGTAAATGAATCCATTGTTTTACTAAAATATATGCAACATGTGCAAAGAATAATTCCACTATGTTAGGCATCTAATTATAAGCTCATATGTAGGCATGGGCTTAGTCAGGTTGAGTAGAGCGGATGTGCTTTCCACTATGCATCCAAGTTCGAATTTCCATCCACGAAGTTTAGATTAGTTTAAAGTAAAATATCGCTTCTAAGAGCGGAGCCAGAAAATTCGTCAAGGAGGGTCAACCTCAAATAATAAAATCATCGCAAAACAAAATAAATGTATCTAATAACACAAAGTCTTTAGTAATAACTCATATATGTCATTCCAATACATTCATAATCATTCATCTCTTGAAATATTTTTATAATCACTTCATTATCAATAATATCAAATTTCAGAATTCAGATAATAAACAAATCATATAAACATTATTTTTTTTTAATTTGAGATAATAAAGAAATCGTAAATAAAAAAGTGGTTTTGGGTTAATAATTCTTAAGTTATTAGAGAGAGAGAGAGAGAGAGAGAGAGAGAGAGAGATATAACAGTTGGGAACTTCTGTCAGAAGGGTCAAAATTTAAGAATGAATTATAAACAAAGAGATATTTAGAAAACTTCAGAAGGGTCAGTTGATCCTTGTGGGCTTTCATTGGCTCATCCAGTGCTTCTACCCGAAAAAATATATATATATAAGCTCATCCACTAGTTATGATAATTAATTTCCTTGTTTCTCATGTTCATTCCTTATTATATATTTTATTATATATTATAGATTGTAATAATAATATTTTTGTTAGGAATTGGATGGGTAGGGATGGCAGAAATCCCGTCAGGTCGGATTGGGTCGGGTCCCTGACCTTAACGGGGAAAATGGGGCCGGGTACGAGGATCCCCGATTTTTAACAATACCACACTGGTGATGGGCTGAGGATGGTATCCCTATCCCAAACCTGGCCTGATAAGTGATGTATTTATTTTTAATTGATAAATTTATAATGTGATATAATATAAAAATTAAAAACTTATCCTAAACTTTGTAAGATGTTTAAGCTTTGGACATTTTATTATTATATGATTTTATTAGTTTTGTCAAATTAAATTGGGATGATTTTGAATGGTTGAGTGAAATTTAAGTGTTAAATGGATTTTGTCCGGGTGGAGACAAGGATGAGAATTTCCCGAAATTTACACGGAATGGGGACGGGGACATGGATAATATTGTCATACCCAATCCCTAATCGACCCGCCCGTTGATGGATGTGAACACTAGTATTATTGCTCAGTTTAATTAATAAAATAAAATAAAAATATTTTTACTGAACTCTACACCTGAAGGTAACGTCAGTAGTATTGAGGTTGAATTTTCTCCAATAGGTGATTACAAACATGTTACTGATTAAACAAATAGTCAGAGCAATAACCAAGGTGGTTGGTGTGAGTGGTTCGGCACTCTCATTCCTTAAGAGAGGTCAGGGGTTCGATCCCTGCTCTCGTATGGAGTCACCACTTTGGCCAGCACTTTACTCCTTACGGGCCGACCCGGTGTGAACGGGGATTAGTCTGGGTTGTGGTTAAGGCTTAAAAGTGCCATCCATAGTTGGAGCCCATCCAGGACCACCTCGTGGTTCAGACCAAAAAAAAAAAAACAAATAGTCAGAGCAATTGAATAATAAAAAAAGTTATCAATTTAAAAAGAAAAACAAAGCATGGAAGGTACCATTAAAACTCAAAACATGTAATAAAAAACCAAGCTTACTACTACCTTCCTTTTCTTGTGATTAACTAATTGATGCGTGATTGTTGTTCAACTTTCAAGCGATGAATCAGCTTTGTAACAGGCAGATGCTCCTCGCGCATCAACTCGATGAGCACATCCTCCCAAGATGGGGGGAGCTTGGAGATGATTGCATTCACATTAAATTCCTCATCTATCGCCATTTTGTCACACTCAACCAGACCTAAGAACATTGAATCCATTTCTTCAGCTTGCTCCCACATTGGTTCCTCCTCCTCGAGCAAATGAAATTCCATGTACTTTTGAACCCGAGATTCGTGTCCTCCAAACCTCAATTTCAGCTCATCCCACAGTTGCTTGGCACTTGTTTCCTTCCTCCTCTTTGAGTAATGAAGAAAAAGATCATCAGATAGATGGTTCAAGATTGTATGAAAACACAGGGCGTCATCCTCATTCCATTTCTGTTCGGCAGCCATTGATCGAGCAATTTCTTCAACACTTGCTTCTGTTTCTACCACAAAACTTGGGCGTGGCCCATAGAGCACACCTCTAAGATTATCTAGGACATGTTCATTCATATTATATCTCCAAATACCGTAGTTATTCCCATCCAAACGAAGATTGTCAACGTCAACAAGTACTTCATATGAGCACGACATGAACATGCCAACACAACACAGCAGCAACAGGGTAAGAAGGAAGTTATAATTATGCAATGCAAGTTAAAATACAATCATAACATGAAGCTAATGTATATATATTTGGTTTCGTTGTATGCACTCATTTACCTTTGGGAGTAACAACTTGATATCCATCCCCCAGCTGTTCAAACAAAATAATTTAGATCAGAAACCCACAAATTTCCTTGATATCCATCTTCCTATCGAAATATCATCAGTTTCTCATTGTCAGACGCACAACCCAACTCAGCGAAATAGTGCACTTCACCAACAACTCACATAGAACTAAAGAAACCCTTCCTTTTTTTTCTTTATATATAAAATTTCCTTCCAGTTCCTACACTTTCCAAGTAAACAAACCTAAAAATTGGGGTTTTACCTGTGCTTTCTTCTTAAAGTCTTCTGCGAACTGTAGTATCCAGTCCTTGTTGGGTGGGTGTTGTGCCTATTATTGAACAAGTCAGTTTTTCTTCAGTTTCATACACTTTCCAAATAAACAAAAGAGGAAATTAAAGTTTCACCTTCATTTCCTTCCCCTCTTCTCCACCGTTCTGGCCGATACCAGATGGATCAATTCCGAGTCTTGTCCATGTCTCCGAGTGTTCTTATGATTTGAAAGTTTGAAGCCCTTATTATACCTTTATAAGGTAAAAAAAAGGTTGGTGGCATTTGTGGTAAATGTAATTTTATCAAAATTCTAGTTTGCTCTACCTTAATTAGAATTCTAGTAACAAAAATGTTGTTTTTTAATCCAAATCACGAAAAACCCGGTCCAATTTTCGAACTTTTTAAATCCAAGTTCTAGAAATGTGATCTGATCCTATTCTTGTGGACAACGTCAAAATTTCGTCTCACGTATTAACAAAAAATAATATAATTTAAATTAGGATTAAAAAATAGTTAGCAAAACAGTAGGACTCCAATTGCCAAGTTTAAATAATATATAATAATTATAACAGTGTCCTAGCTGAACTTTGTTTTTGACCATATAATGCCACGTGTTTAAGAATAAATCAAATGATTTACAATAGCTTATCTGCTAGTTAATCAATCCCCTCCTAAATTACCACCAATTAAACATTAGGGAAATTAGAAGGAAAAAAAAACACCATTACAACTACATAGTTTATCTATATAACAGTCACTACCAAAAAAAAAAAAAAGAAGGTGGCAACAGTCACCCTTTTTTCATTGCATTTCAATGATAATTTATTGGGAGTTTCACTAAAACACCCAAAATGGGGGTTGAAATTATAAAAACACCCAAGCACTATTGAAACATATAAACACACCCAAAACCCATCATTACACACACTCAAAACTCATTTATAAACACACCAAAAAGTTGACTTTGTGGTTGATTTTGGGTGTGTTTCTATGTTTAAATAGTGCTTGGGTTTTTTTATAAATACATGTCTAGGATTGGGTTTATTTATAAATTTGTATAATTTATTTTGAGAGAGAGAGAGAGAGAGAGAGAATAATGTAATACATTGCCGTTTATGCATTTCAATGATTCTAAAAAATTGTTGGAAAGATTTGTTTTATTTATTTATTTTGAATGAGCTAATTGTTTATCAGTATATATATATACACACATACAGCGTTAATTATTCAAGCAAATCCGTAAAAAATCTTTACTAATGAGGATTTGATACCTAGAGTATTTCTGTTTTGGTTTTAATATATATGAATCAAATTTTGTTTTAGATTTGGCCAAAGAGGAGGCTTAGATCCGTTGGGCCTATCTAAATTATAAAGATAAAATACAATTTCACCCTTTTTGTTTAAAAGCCTTCCAAAATCAAATCTCACCCTTTCTTTCTCTCAGATTACCTGCACCCGACTCCACAACCTCTTCAGGCTTCGTCGTCCTGCGACTCCTTGTTGTTGTCTTCCTGATCCGCCATCTGAAAGCAAGCCACCACGTTCGGGTCCGTACCGGGTGGGAACGACGACTCCCAAACTTATTCAGAGAGCCCAGAAGCGAGAAACTTAGCTCTCAAGAGTACGTCAAGTGGTAGAAATCCAATGTCGGATGCAACCATTTTTAAATACTGCCTAGCAGGTTTAACTGAGAAGACTCTTCTACTCAAGGAGATTTCTAGCACTGCTTCTAATGAAGAACTTTTGAGTTTTTCTCATCAGGTTTACTTATATTCAGGATGTTCACACCACAGGTAATCACTAGTGTTTTTCTTAATATAAATATTACAGACTTTATTGGTCGAGTTAACAAATATATGATGATATTCTTTCTTGCATGATATTTGTCATTTCTGTTCATTATGACAAGAAAAGAAAAAGAAAAGAAAAGAAAGAATCCTCCTTCAACCCTTCTATTCCATTGGTTGCCAAACTTAGTTTTCTTTTCAGTTTCAGATTCCGACTAGACATTCCTGTAAAAACTGACTCATATCAAATCCAAAAGAATTGTAGGGAACAGCTATATTTTTCTATTCTTTTCATCCTTCCTTTGCTATGATTCTAATTTTGAGTAAGAATACAACAGATCCGTTGTTTTCATTTCAGGCTCAATATATTACTGATCATGTAATCACTAAACCCCGTTTCGTGTGTATACTTATGTCAATTCACCCAAGAGAAGAAAAAATTTCTCAGTTTAAAAGAAAAAAAATAGGATTAGAGTTTGATTATGCTACTACCTAGTGATCCTTGATTTGTGCTTTAGATACCATATATTTCCTTATCCTCGTATGGTCAGAATCGTTTTTCTTTCTTATTTATTCCCTCAGGCACCAAATAGCAATGGCAAAGCGATTGATAGAGGAAGGAAATAAGGCTTGGAATTTGATCTCACAAAATAAACACCAGGTTCCATGGGAAAGTGTGGTTTTTGAAATTGAAGAGCAATTCATGAAGATTGCTTGTTGTAATTCTCGGGCTCTCACGCAACAGGTTCCCCTCTCTCTCTCTCTCTCTCTCTCTCAAGTATACTCTTGGTTGAGATATTTAAGATGTAGACATTTTGAATCTCCTATGATATCAAGTTGCATCTTATGCTCATGATGATGCTCCTAGAGCAGAATCAACCATTTATCAAGGATTGTTGTATGACAAGACAATTGAAGTTGGTTGAGCAATCAACACTACACACGGTCAAGCTTTCAGATGAGTTGTATTTTTTCAATAAATTTTACCTTTGTGTTCAATCCATTAAGTTTGTGAAATTTTTCTTTAGAGAAGATTTTTAACAAGTATCATAAATAGCTATGTGGTTGCTTTAGTTTAGATTTGGAGAATCCACGGGTGTAACTTATGAGATTTAATTTTTTCTTGTTGTGAAGTTGATTACCTTATACCTTTATTTTCATCATATGTAGCCAAATCATTTTTTCATATCAAGCTTGTTGCTTTTACACTCTGGATAATATGTCATAATGAAAACTCTGTGGGAACTAGTTTTGAGGATGAAGTTGTCATGTTTGATTTAGCTTGCAAAAAGTGTTTATTCTTTTCTTTGGGAAATGTTTTCAGGACTTTGAGCTACTGAGGAGAATTGCGGGTTGCCAAGAATATCTGGCCCAAGAAAACTTTGAAAAGATGTGGTGTTGGTTATATCCTGTAGCTTTAATGTTATCAAAAGATTGGATAAATACAATGTGGAGTTCAACATCTCCCAAGTGGATAGAAGGATTCATTACGAAGGAAGAAGCTGAAACTTCACTTCAAGGTTCAAGGGGTTTACAGGAATCTGGTACATTTGTACTCCGGTTTCCTACTTCAAGGAGCTGGCCCCACCCAGATGCTGGTAGCTTAGTTGTGACTTATGTTAGCAGCAAGCACGCTATTCACAACAAGCTTATCTCCCTTGATCAAATGTTTAGGTGGGTAGTTCACTACTTTTGCCTTGCCTGAGAAACGGCAGTTTTAAATTTCATTTCTGTTGCGCTTTTCTCATATAGGGATTAATCAAATTGTTGGTCAAGACATCTTAACTGTAACTCAAACTTGTAGGGGTGTACTATGTATGGCCTATTAAACAGTAGGGAAATTGCAAAGATTATTAGAAAAATGTAGTCCCTGAGTTTTATGTTGATTGTGTTTTTATTTCTTTTAGAGAAGTAATTGTTGAAATATTGAGTTCTCAGTCACACTGCATTAAATTTATCATATTAAGGGGAAAAAGGTCTCATGCATACAAAGATAAATTTGATTTACCACGGAGATAAGGTATGAAGGAACTGTGAAACTTTATTTAGGGAAGCAGTCAAAACTTGGGTGATGGGTATAATAAAATGGTTTCAGAGAGCAATTATTAGAGCCTTGATGTTTTGTTTACCATCTAGTTATCTGGGAAAATGAGTTAGCAATCCTGGTTTGAAATTACTGAAACTTTAGTTGCCTCCCTTGTCTTGCAGTTCTGCTGAGAGGGAAAAGAATGCAAAATCACTGCAAGATATGCTTCTTGCGGAACCCGAACTCTCTCGATTGGGAAGGCAAGAAATTTATATAACACTTATTTTTATTAAACTTCCATATACTGCATTAACTGGATATGAGTGATTTATAAATTTTTTGCTTAAAATTTTGCAGGATAATAAGAAGTCGCTGAGTGGGCTAGAGATGCATAACATACTATTCTGTTTTTGCAAGATCAATTTTTGCGGCTATCTATGTATTGTCTTTGAGCCTTTGATGTATAGATTAGTCTGTTATTATATCAGTATCTTATAAGTGGAAGTGCCCATTGTGTAAAAAGGCAACAGTCACCCTTTTTTCATTGCATTTCAATGATAATTTATTGGGAGTTTCACTAAAACACCCAAAATGGGGGTTGAAATTATAAAAACACCCAAGCACTATTGAAACATATAAACACACCCAAAACCCATCATTACACACACTCAAAACTCATTTATAAACACACCAAAAAGTTGACTTTGTGGTTGATTTTGGGTGTGTTTCTATGTTTAAATAGTGCTTGGGTTTTTTTATAAATACATGTCTAGGATTGGGTTTATTTATAAATTTGTATAATTTATTTTGAGAGAGAGAGAGAGAGAGAGAGAATAATGTAATACATTGCCGTTTATGCATTTCAATGATTCTAAAAAATTGTTGGAAAGATTTGTTTTATTTATTTATTTTGAATGAGCTAATTGTTTATCAGTATATATATATACACACATACAGCGTTAATTATTCAAGCAAATCCGTAAAAAATCTTTACTAATGAGGATTTGATACCTAGAGTATTTCTGTTTTGGTTTTAATATATATGAATCAAATTTTGTTTTAGATTTGGCCAAAGAGGAGGCTTAGATCCGTTGGGCCTATCTAAATTATAAAGATAAAATACAATTTCACCCTTTTTGTTTAAAAGCCTTCCAAAATCAAATCTCACCCTTTCTTTCTCTCAGATTACCTGCACCCGACTCCACAACCTCTTCAGGCTTCGTCGTCCTGCGACTCCTTGTTGTTGTCTTCCTGATCCGCCATCTGAAAGCAAGCCACCACGTTCGGGTCCGTACCGGGTGGGAACGACGACTCCCAAACTTATTCAGAGAGCCCAGAAGCGAGAAACTTAGCTCTCAAGAGTACGTCAAGTGGTAGAAATCCAATGTCGGATGCAACCATTTTTAAATACTGCCTAGCAGGTTTAACTGAGAAGACTCTTCTACTCAAGGAGATTTCTAGCACTGCTTCTAATGAAGAACTTTTGAGTTTTTCTCATCAGGTTTACTTATATTCAGGATGTTCACACCACAGGTAATCACTAGTGTTTTTCTTAATATAAATATTACAGACTTTATTGGTCGAGTTAACAAATATATGATGATATTCTTTCTTGCATGATATTTGTCATTTCTGTTCATTATGACAAGAAAAGAAAAAGAAAAGAAAAGAAAGAATCCTCCTTCAACCCTTCTATTCCATTGTTGCCAAACTTAATTTTCTTTTCAGTTTCACATTCCAACTAGACATTCCTGTAAAAACTGACTCATATCAAATCCAAAAGAATTGTAGGGAACAACAATATTTTTCTGTTCTTTTCAGCCTTCCTTTGCTATGATTCTAATTTCAAATAAGAATACAACAGATCTGTTGTTTTCATTTCAAGCTCAGTATATTACTGATCCTTCCTTTAAATTATGTTAAACTGCTCAGTTTGGTTGCTGGTGAATAGTGGGGGAAAAAGAAGAAGAAAAAGCATTATTAAAGTCTTGAAGTTGTTTATTGTTGTTCTGCATAGGCTGGAGTGGTCTCTAAAAGTAAGGCTATTTGATTAGCTGACGATGCTGAACTTGGTATGCATTTTGACACTAATTTTTGTTATTTGCTTTGTTTTTTCTTAATTTTTGTGTTTTCTTTTATTATTTGAGCTTCTTATTTGAGCTAGAAATGATGCTTTTATAATAACATGGTTTTGAAGACTAATCTCTTCTGCATTGTTGCGGGTAATATTTTCTCCAAAAGCAGATCCTCCAGTTCTCAGGATAATTGATTACAAGTATGATTGCTTTCATATGATTTTAGAACAAGTCCATAATTTCTTTTCATTTTGACTGTTTCCTGTTCTTGGTTTTGATAAATGCTCAAAAGGTACTTTGGCCTACCAAATTATATTGGAGATGTAGTTGTTAATTTCAAGTTTAGTCATGAACTACATTACTGATTTAGGTGTAAGTTAAGTCACATTAATACACTTTTTGCAATCATGTCCTACTCCTTATCATGACCTGATCTAATTTAACTGCAACTTCTTATTACAAAGCTCACTTACTATGCATTTGTCTTGAATTGGAAATGGTATTGCAAAACTACATTGTACAGGTTCTGCATTGGAGTTTTGCACAAACTACATTACAGTTTTCATTTAATTACAATTGGATTTTGGCTCGTTTCTTGGCCTTCAACCTCACCAATTTGAGTAGAAGCTACCCATACAAGGAATTGGGTGGGCAAGATAAGAGTAGAACTCAAAATTGGATTTTTGGAAATTGTATTGCAGTTTTCATTTAATTACAATTGAATTTTTGCTCTTTCCTTAGCCTTCAACCTCACCAATTTGAAGAGTAGGGACTACCCATATGAGGAATTGGGAGGGCAAGAGAAGAGTAAAACTACCCACGAGCAAGGGAACTTAAAATTGGACTTTTGGAAACTGGATTGCAGTTTTCATTTAATTATAATTGGATTTTTGCTCTTTCCTTGGGCTTCAACCTCACCAATTTGAAGAGTATAGGCTACCCAGATAAGGAATTAGGAGGGCAAGAGAAGAGTAGAACTACTCAAGAACAAAGGAACTCAAAATTGGACTTTTAGAAACTGCATTGTAGTTTTCATTTAATTACAATTGGATTTTTGTTCTTTCCTTGGCCTTCAACCTCACCAATTTGAAGAGTATATGCTACCCAGATGAGGAATTGGGTGGGCAAGAGAAGAGTAGAACTACCCAAGAGTAAGGGAACTCAAAATTGAACTTTTAGAAACTACATTGCAGTTTCCATTTAATTACAATTGGATTTTGTTCTTTCCTTAGCCTTCAACCTCACCAATTTGAAGAGTAGAGGCTACCCAGATGAGGAATTGGGTGGGCAAGAGAAGAGTAAAACTACCCAAGAGCAAGGGAACTCAAAATTGGATAAAATTGTTTATCTTGGTTCCTCCATTTTGCTTCAATAAAATTAATTTTTGTTTTTGAAGCTGTTTTTTTTTTTTTTTTTTTTTTTTTTAAACTTAATTAATATCTACATTGTATTTTTGTTGCAGTTTTTCTGTTTTTATTTGCAGTTTTTGGACAATAGATATTCGATAAAAGATGCTAAACAAAATGCACTTCTCAGTTTAATTGTGAGGGAGCCTGGACATACCAATACATTATACGCTCACTTTGGTCTATTTTAGTTCTCGTTATGTCCATTTCACTCAACTGAAGACCTAACAAAAAAAAAAAAAAACAGAAAATGAGATAAACAACAGTCCTCGGCCAAGGAAGTAAAAACTACATGTACTAGAATCTCAAAAAAGGTCACCTCGTATTTTGGCTTCAATCTCTAGTTCAAAGCTCTGCTCAGTGTGAATATGCCTCAGAACAGGTAAAGCTTTATATAGCAAGTACTTCAGCCTCTGTAATTTGACACTGGGCTCAACTTTTATGTTGCAAGGCTGTCAAAACAAATAAAACCATAAGGGGAGAGAGAGAGAGAGAGAGAGAGAGAGAGAGAGATTAGACTCAAAACTTGGTAGTTTCAGATTAAAGTGCAGAGTAAACTCGCGCAAGCAAGCTTTGCAGTTGCAGTTGCGACAACAAAATGGGCATTTCTTCGCTATTTCCTCTCTCGTCTTCCCAGGGTACCTATCTCAATATTGAACAACGCAAAAATCTTATCATTTGAAACCAATACAAATAGTAAAGGCTTGCAATTATATAAAAATGCAAATAATGCAAACACAATGAGCTCACTCTGGCAAATATTTACATAATTAGATTTAAGAACTGGGTATAAATGCAAATACACAATTAGCTCACTCTAATTAGAATTGTCAACTGTCTTAATTCTTACTTACCATCTTTCAATGCACTCAGAGCAAAATCGCTTGGTCGTACAATTAGAACAGTGGACAACGCCACTCTTGTCGCTCCGCTGACACTGGTGGCACATCAAGCTCACACGCGGCTCCGTCTTCTTGTTAGGCTTCTCCTACAAAACGCAAAAATTTCATTTTCGTTCATTTCACAGAACTTAGAGCAGCACAAAAAAAATGAGAAAAAAGAATCAAATTTTGGATATTTCACCTCCTTGAATTTGCAAATCTTCACAGGATTATCGGAACCGCTGTCTCCGTCTGATCTTTCTCTCTGAATTTTCTTATTCTTGAGCTGCGCCAAGTGCTTTTGACTTCCCCGACGACGCCGTTTCCCTGCACCGCCACTTTTGACCATCGCTGCGCTTGCACCGGCGATCATCTGCCGGCGATTCCATCGTCGCGAAGGACAGATCGTGTTCGGAAATCAACGGCTGTAATTGGTCTGGAAAGGTACGAAATGCAAGTGTAATCGAGCGCCTGATTTCCGCAGTTAGGCAGGAAATGGATATTTGGATATTTGGATATTTATATTTATATTCTTTTATCAATTTTCATTTGGATAAGCGTACGTTGTTTATAACGTCTTGTTTCGCTGGTCACGTGTAAGTGTAACACGTGTTCCTTTTTTCTTAAATAATCAGTTTACAGTGCTTTGTTTTGTGTCAAAATATGATTTCATAATTCTTATTTTTTTTCTTCTATACAAGTCATATTGGAGGTAGATGTGTCAGACGAGAATCCAGCATGACACGAGCTCAGCCCGTTTAAATGAGACTATTTGGATTATTTGGGTCTGCCAACATGACCCGAGTCGGTGTACAGTTTGGGCCCATAACCAGCCCGCCCTGACCCGGTTCCAACCCTACGTTTTTCTAAACAAAACCACGCCATGCGCCAATCTTTACAAGAGAAGTAAAGATTTTGCAGCAGTTGCATCTTCCGCAATGCTGGGGAATATCTTTAGTGGAATCCACATTGTTGACTCTGTTGCCAACATAATACTGTAATAAAACAGGCTCAGCAAATAAAATGCAACTCAGCACAGATGACCAAAATGCCGTGAAAATGTGTCGATGTCTATGAAATTAACAAAATTTAGTTTGAATCCCCAAATCAATAGTAAAATACCAACAGTTACATCTTAGATGGTCCAAAAACAATAACCAAATGAACACTTCTGTTTTTTATCCTGCACCAATACTGGATAGTCAAACAACAATAAAGGCAAACTAAAATCTTTGGATGACAAATGTCCTGAAGGAGCCTTGCCTTAAGTATCTAACTGCTAACACCCACAAAGTATACATACAAAGTTTATTTTAGAGACCAATATCCTGGTAGATTAATACATGGAAAGCAGAGTAAAAACTGTGTACATAATCATGGGAATATGCATGGTAGCATGTTGTTGACTGCTAAAAAGAGTGGTGATTTCCCCACTCCTTTTTCTTCTATTTTATCCACTTACACTCCTTTTTTATAGGAGTGTAAGTGGATAAAATAGAAGTGGGGAAATCATTACCCTCTAAAAATACAATATATATATATATATATAGCACGAAAAAAGCACAAGTAAATAAGTGGAGCTAGAAAATGGAACATTAGAAACAGAAGCATTTCTACGAAGCTTTGAAGGATTACTAGAACCTTTTACCATACTACAGGTACATGTAAAATGTTTTGGTTAAAGAATATGATTCAATAAACAAGTCGGGAACTAACATATATCCCTTTGAATATCAAGAATACTATCATGAAATGCCGACTAACATTACTATCATGCTAAACCAAAGCAACACTCATTCATTTTTCTAGCTACCCAAAAACTAAACAACAATCTAAAGCATCTGTTTACACTCAAAATGAGCAAGGGATGCCTCGCTTAACACAAATTAGAGAGGCACACGCCAAACCAACATTCAATATCTCATAAAGTCTGCATATGTATAACAAATCCTATCAGAGGAGGTAACAAATTCTGAGAACTACTGCAAACAGAAAAGTAAAAGAAAGGAGTTTATGGGTCAAGAGGACATTAATTGAGGCAAAGGCTCGACCCTGAGTCGATAGCTGTCGACCCCAACCGGGAATCACAGATCCCCCAGATCTAAAGAACCACAGCGGTTGAGTGATTGGGTTTTTACGTAGAGCTTTCAAGAAAGAGAGAAAAGGTTCTTTGTTGGTAGTCAATTAAGGTCAATACTTACGTCCATTAATATCACTAATTACGTCCCTATTTATACGTACGTAGATAAAAAAAAAAAAATTACGTGTAAACAATTTTTCATCCAATCAACCCAATATTCACGTAATTATTAATAAATCACCCAATTAAAAAATAGTGGAAAATTGGAATTAAAGAAGCAAAAATAGTTGAAAACAAGAATCCAAGAACACGAGAGAAAAATTGAATTGATAGAAATATTGAAACAGTAGGCGATGTGTTCGTTAAAAATGGCCAACTCGACTCGGTTGTTGATATGCGCTCTGTGTCGATTCAGTAGCTCGACGTTGAAGTTCCCATATTTACCATCCTCCAGAAGGTTGACCACGGCCATCGTTGTTAATCCTACGTGACCACCATTGGCTTCAAAGATTTGACGGATCTCGTTGGATTTTGCGGATCTCAATTTGAATACTGTTAGAGTGTCGAACGGATATCGCATATTGCACGTTATCCGGGTTCGCTAGGTTTGGACCGTTGGATGGTCCTGAATTGTTAATATGTTAATCTAGACATTCCTAGGATCGTGTAGGATTCGACGGATCGTAAAACGGAGTCCCAGATACTCCGGAAATGCCAACCCTAGGGCTAGGGTTTCAGTGACTGTCTGATCGTGCGATCGTGAGCAATTCGACCGTCCGATCTGGACCAGATTTGCAGGACGTGTATCCTAAACCTTGTAGCCCTCATAGAAACTATCGGATTGGAATTTGGAGGTCGTGGGCCCCGCGGGCCTGTTTGACCAAGTTTGGGTAGTTTGACCTTGGGTTGACCACAAGACTTTTGTTTTAGTTCTACCTTCCCAAGAGGGTTAGAATGACCTTAGTGACAGGTCTTGAGTGTTGTTGAGTTAAATGGTTTATATGGGTTTAGGATATTAGTTCATTATTTTAATGGGGGATTATCGGATGCTCTATCGGGTTGAGGTTTATGAAATAGAGGATTATATAATTATATATATTTATGTGTATATTTAAAGGTATAAAAAAAGTTTAGAATGTCAGTTTGAGGTGCTATACGCACTACCCTATGTACCTCCCTGGATATTGATTACCCTGTGCAAGTACTGTTCTACGATTGTGAGGTCACACGTGTCGTTGGAGTCAGTGGCGAAGCCAGAATTTCATGTGTGTGGGGGCCTCTCACAAAATATAAACAATAAAAAATTTGAACTCACAAGACATACCAAAACATCAAAAATCATATTATGTATTCATTACAATCATCATTGTTCTTGACGAGTTTTCATATTTTGAAATCGTTGCATAACAACCTCGTCATCTGTACTATTGAAAATGTCTCTCTCAATATATGCAACGAAGCAATCATTTATACATAAATTGAAGATCTATTAAAATCAATAAAAAGAAAAAAAATTAAAATTTTATGAACTAAAAATAAATAAATAAAGAAAAAAATAAAAAAGAGAACTACTAAAAAAACTTTAATTGAATAAATTAACCTAATAAAAACTTGATAGTTTAATATGGAGTTTGAGAGAAAAACTCACAGGCAGTGCATTGAGAAAGTCTACTTTGTTGCTTGTGTATCTCCAAGAAAGGAGAAAAATGGGTTAGGATTTTATCAATTTTTTTAGAAGAGTAAATATATAATAATAAGAGCCATAAACCTTTGGAAAAAGGAAAGGAAAGTGGCTTACGCTTGGTGGAAAGGAAAACAGGATTCGGCTGCTGGCCCACGTGATAAACTAAACATATTAATTAATATAGATTATTCAATAACAGCAATACATATTACATTTTAAAAGAAAGAAAAAAATTGAGTGGGGGCCAGTGACTGCACTGGTCCCTACGTGCCTCCGCCCCTGGTTGGAGTAGCCGGCGTGTTGACAGACCCCATATATGGCCCGGTGCGTCCCGACGTATGAGGGAAGATATGTGATTATGTTGAGGTCACACGTGTCGTAGGAGTAGCCGGCGTGTTGACAGACTCCATACGTGGCCAGGTGCGTCCCGACGTATGAGGGGTGATATGTGATTGTGTGAGGTCACACGTGTCGCAGGAGTAGCCGGCGTGTTGACAAACCCTATATGTGGCTGGATGCGTCCCGACGTATGAGGGGATTATGTGATATGCTTGTGAGATCACACGTGTCGTAGGAGTAGCCGGCGTGTTGACAGACCATATATATGACCGGGTGCGTCCCGACGTATGAGGGGAATATGTGATATGCTTGTGAGGTCGCACGTGTCGTAGGAGTAGCCGGCGTGTTGACAGACCCTATACGTGGCCGGGTGCATCCCGACGTATGAGGGGTGATATGTGATTGTGTGAGGTCACACGTGTCGCAGGAGTAGCCGGCGTGTTGACAAACCCTATATGTGGCTGGATGCGTCCCGACGTATGAGGGGATTATGTGATATGCTGGGGAGATCACACGTGTCGTAGGAGGAGCCGGCGTGTTGACAGACCATATATATGACCGGGTGCGTCCCGCCGTATGAGGGGATTATGTGATATGCTTGTGAGGTCACACGTATCGTAGGAGTAGCCGACGTGTTGACAGACCCTATACGTGGCCGGGTGCATCCCGACGTATGAGGGGTGATATGTGATTGTGTGAGATCACATATGTCGTAGGAGTAGCCGACGTGTTGACAGACCCTATATGTGGCCGGGTGCGTCCCGACGTATGAGGGGATTATGTGATATGCTTGTGAGGTCACACATGTCGTAGGAGTAGCCGACGTGTTGACAGACCCTATACGTGGTCGGATGCGTCCTAACGTATGAAGGGATTATGTGATATGCTTGTGAGGTCGTACGTGTAGTAGGAGTAGCCGGCGTGTTGACAGACC